TTAATAAACACTGCTAATCAACATAAAAGTACATTGTAGAAGTTAATTAACATTGTTAATCAAGATAAAAGTACATTGTAGAATTAATAATAATTAATTTTAATTAATAAAATTACTGCTAATCAAGGTAAAAGTATATTTTATAAGTTAATAAACACTGCTAATCAAGATAAAAGTACATTTTATAAGTTAATAAACACTGCTAATCAAGATAAAAGTACATTTTATAAGTTAATAAACACTGCTAATCAAGATAAAAGTACATTGTAGAAGTTAATTAACACTGCTAATCAATATAAAAGTACATTGTGGAAGTTAATTAACACTGCTAATCAAGATAAAAGTACATTTTATAAGTTAATAAACACTGCTAATCAACATAAAAGTACACTGAAGAAGTTAATAAACACTGCTGTTCCTTACATAATAAACATATAATACTTCTGTTCCTTACACAACACTCTAAATACTGCTGTTCTTTACATAACAAACTACTCATACTGCTGTTCCTAACACAACAAAGTCTGAATACTGCTGTTCCTTACATACCATATTACTCATACTGCTGTTCCTTACATAACAAACTATCCATACTGCTGTTCCTTACACAATAAAGTCTTAATACTGCTGTTCCTTGCATAACATATTACTCATACTGCTGTTCCTTATATAACAAACTATTCATACTGCTGTTCCTTACATAATAAACATATAATACTTCTGTTCCTTACACAACAGTCTTAATACTGCTGTTCTTTACATAACAAACTACTCATACTGCTGTTCCTAACACAACAAAGTCTGAATATTGCTGTTCCTTGCATAACATATTACTCATACTGCTGTTCCTTGCATACCATACTACTCATACTGCTGTTCCTTACATAACAAACTATTCATACTGCTGTTCCTTACATAATAAAGTCTTAATACTGCTATTCCTTATATAACATACTACTCATACTGCTGTTCCTTACATAAGAAACATATCATACTTCTGTTCCTTACATAACAAACTACTCATACTGCTGTTCTTTACATAACAAACTATTCATAGTGTTGTTCCTTACATAAAAACCTATTCATACTGCTGTTCCTTACATAAAAACCTATTCATACTGCTGTTCCTTACATAAGAAACATATAATACTTCTGTTCCTTACATAATAAATTATTCATACTGCTGTTCCTTACACAACAAACTATTCATACTGCTGTTCCTTACATAAGAAACATATAATACTTCTGTTCCTTACATAACAAATTATTCATACTGCTGTTCCTTACACAACAGTCTTAATACTGCTGTTCCTTGCATAACAAACTACTCATACTGCTGTTCCTTGCATAACAAATTATTCATACTGCTGTTCCTTACACAACAAAGTCTAAATATTGCTGTTCCTTACATAACAAACTATTCATACTGTTGTTCCTTACATAACAAACTACTCATACTGCTGTTCCTTACATAACAAACTATTCATACTGCTGTTCCTTACACAACAAAGTCTAAATATTGCTGTTCCTTGCATAACATATTACTCATACTGCTGTTCCTTACATAACGAACTATTCATAGTGCTGTTCCTTACATAAACTACTCATACTGATGTTCCTTACATAACAAACTATTCATACTGCTGTTCCTTACACAATAAAGTCTTAATACTGCTGTTCCTTGCATAACAAACTACTCATACTGCTGTTCCTTACATAACAAATTATTCATACTGCTGTTCTTTACACAACAAAGTCTAAATACTGCTGTTCCTTGCATAACATATTACTCATACTGCTGTTCCTTACATAACAAACTATTCATACTGCTGTTCCTTACATAACAGTCTAAATACTGCTGTTCCTTGCATAACATATTACTCATACTGCTGTTCCTTACATAACAAACTATTCATAGTGCTGTTCCTTACATAACAAACCAAACTATTCATACTGCTGTTCCTTACATAACAAACTACTCATACTGCTGTTCCTTACATAACAAACTATTCATACTGCTGTTCCTTACACAACAAAGTCTTAATACTGCTGTTCCTTGCATAACATATTACTCATACTGCTGTTCCTTACATAACAAACTATTCATACTGCTGTTCCTTACATAACAAAGTCTAAATACTGCTGTTCCTTGCATAACATATTACTCATACTGCTGTTCCTTACATAACAAACTATTCATAGTGCTGTTCCTTACATAACAAACTACTCATACTGCTGTTCCTTACATAACAAACTACTCATACTGCTGTTCCTTACATAACTATTCATACTGCTGTTCCTTACATAACAAACTATTCATACTGCTGTTCCTTACATAACAAACTATTCATACTGCTGTTCCTTACATAACAAACTACTCATACTGCTGTTCCTTACATAACAAATTATTCATACTGCTGTTCCTTACACAACAAAGTCTAAATACTGCTGTTCCTTACACAACAGTCTAAATACTGCTGTTCCTTACACAACAAAGTCTAAATACTGCTGTTCCTTGCATAACATATTACTCATACTGCTGTTCCTTGCATAACATATTACTCATACTGCTGTTCCTTACATAACGAACTATTCATAGTGCTGTTCCTTACATAATAAACATATAATACTTCTGTTCCTTACATAACAAACTATTCATACTGCTGTTCCTTACATAACAAATTATTCATACTGCTGTTCTTTACACAACAAAGACTAAATACTGCTGTTCCTTGCATAACATATTACTCATACTGCTGTTCCTTACATAACAAACTATTCATACTGCTGTTCCTTACATAACAAACTACTCATACTGCTGTTCCTTACATAACAAATTATTCATACTGCTATTCCTTACATAATAAACATATAATACTTCTGTTCCTTACATAATAAACATATAATACTTCTGTTCCTTACATAACAAACTACTCATACTGCTGTTTTTTATATAAACTATTCATACTGCTGTTGCTTACACAACAAAGTCTTAATACTGCTGTTCCTTGCATAACATATTACTCATACTGCTGTTCCTTACATAACAAACTATTCATACTGCTGTTCCTTACATAATAAACATATAATACTTCTGTTCCTTACACAACAGTCTTAATACCGCTGTTCCTTGCATAACATACTACTCATACTGCTGTTCCTTACATAACAGTCTTAATACTGCTGTTCCTTACATAACATACTACTCATATTGCTGTTCATTACATAATAAACTACTCATAATGCTGTTATATACATAATAAGCTATTCATACTGTTGTTCCTTGCATAAACTATTGATACAGTTGTTCCTTACATAATACACAATTCATATTGCTGTTCCTTATATAATGCATTCTTCATACTGCTGTTTCTTATATAACTAACTTTTCGTACTGCTGTTTCTTGCACAATAAGCTTCTAATACTACGGTTTCATATGTCATGAACTGCTTATACTGCCATTCCTTATATAGTAAACTTAGTATTTTCCTGTTTTTTTAGTGTTTCGGAGACGACTGTAACTTTCTTTTTATTCAAGCTTCAGAATAATTAAATCATTTGAGTGTGTTTTCCAAAAGAAGGTGTACTGTCTCGATAAACTTCAAATAATCTGTCAATCATCGAGTCATTTGTTTGGGTAGGCTATTCTGTCACGTGTGTGTGTGTGTGTGTGTGTGGAGAGGGAGTTCGAGCTCCCAAATAAATAAACTCTCTTCAGTAACACACACACACACTCTTTGTCTTTCTTCACACATGTTGCATAATATTTTGGAGTTGGTTAGAATAATAACCCAGCGGGGGCCAGTTTGTACGCACCACCTATTCTTTCAACAGCTGTGCGTAATCATGACTTCTGTCTAACTTGTAACACAGCATTTTGTACACCTTATACAGAACTGTCTCCGAGTGTGCACGTCTCACTTTTTCAAGTAACGTACTATCCAGTTCATTCTTCAACACAATGTGTTGTGATTCCTGATTCCGACACTCAATAAAGTGAACTACAACTGCTCTAACAGTAACTTTAGTTTCTATACCTTACATTTATACTCATAATTTCACTATATACACAATAGAATATTTAGTATTGTATGTATATTTATCTATAACGACTTATATGTACAAACTACAGTTTCCACTCAAACAAAAATTAAAGCTAAACACGATTTTTGTTTTTTGTGTGTATGTGTCAGTAGTAATTAGTATATGAATGGCCAATGTTCCTTAAAGTTTAATGTCGAGATACACATATATATATATTGTACAGGAACGTCGAGAGCCAGCACGGGCCCCCTTTCTCTCTCTCTTTTAAAATTTTAAAGAACTTATTAAAAAGAAGATCCTAAATTAGGACAGCAACGAACTCATAAACCAGACAAAATCATAGCAACAGCCGTTTTTACCTCACAGTATAAGCGTAAAAACGTTAATAAAGTAACAACAAATATTTATTAAATCTATAAAGCAACAAATACATATTAATTATTACTCAAATTATTATTTCAGTCGTTCTTAATGTATCAAGCGTCTATATTGCAAAGAAAAGCCAAAAACTATGGTTTTTATCATTAAATGAAGATACAGCCTAAAGATGCTTTACGGCATAACCAGGTTTCATTCGCCCGGGCCCCTAGGCAGTTCCCCCTCCTCACCCCTCTAACGGCGGGCCTGATATTGTACTTTCATTTCAACCAGCATCAAAAGCAATTTACTATAGGAAGAATTTAAATACTTATAGAACATTCTACTGTTATAACTTGAAACGCATTCGAGTATTCAAATGCATTTCTATCGCACGCAAAAAATACTGGTATTAGGCTAAAATATCGTAATAAAAATTATGATCTCAAGAGGTCAACAGTTGAGTTATTAGTATTAGTAATACCAGTGCTACTCTTAAACTTTTATGTTTCTAATCTGCTTTGTAAAATGACACCAGCCTTGTAGTACTATTTAAAATTAGAGACTCTTGCAAATAAAATAACAAATTAACACTCACCAGTTTGTTACCTAAAGTAGTTAATTTTTGAAATTCTCTCAAACAACTACCTTCAATCATTGAACTTATTTTCTCGGCGAACAGTAGCGTCTCTTGCGAAACAACCAGTACATAACACATGTTAGTTGATCATCACGCTAAACGAAACGCTCTAAAGATTCTAGAAAGCGACATCTACTGTTAGACAATATCACTAATCTATCTTCACCTCAATTTTTTCCCCTTTTTCATTATATGTATGCTATATCTGAAACGTCACTGTGTTAAAAAAATATTACCTTAATTCTGATGAATTAAAACATAAATAGAAATTGATTAAAATATTCCACTTACCAACTTAATCCACTTTATAACGTAACAGTTGTTGTCAAGTGGTTAGCTAATATAAGTTGTATCTCAACCACTGTTGTAACTGCCACATTTCAACAGGGCTAAATAGTCCTGAAAGTAGGGGAAAGGCCTCGTCGGCACTGGATATAGTAGATATAGTGTGGTTGATATTATTATACACTCTTCTTTACTCGAAAGTTTTTATTAATAATGTCTGATAATTTTAATTTTTTCTTCTCTATATCGCAAAGACAATGATTCTCGTTCCTGTTTAACTTTGATCAAAAGGGAAAAGACTGTTCTACTCTTGTGTTGACAGTTTTCTGAAACTTCGCAGATTAAGACAGTGACAATAACTACAACAAATAACCGGATCGTTGTTTTTTACCAATAAAGGATAGACTTAATTCATTTTGATGCTCCTGCTGTTATAGCACAACACTATGTACAAAACCTTGACTTGACCTAGCTTCAGTGGTGGGATTCAGCCGGTTCGCACCGGTTCCTGCGAACCTGTTCTTAGAATTTAATGACCTCCACGAACCGGTTGTTAACAATCGTATGTATAGGCCTAACAATAACGTTACAACTTACAAGTACGCGTATTTACAACGCAACTTTACTAGCAGGCTAGGCGGACTAGGTCTACTAGATCTGTGATGAATCATTTGCCAGCAGGTAAGTGTTTTTTTTTTTTTTATACAGATTCTTAAGATCTTATCTAAATTATTATTATTAGATCTAACTTAGTTATATCATCTACTATAGGCCAAGCGTCCTAGGCCTACGTGTGAGTGCAAATCTGTGCAG